AGCTCATAGCAACCTCAAACTCTTGGGCTTACGCGATTCTGGGAGGCCAAGGCAGGTGGATTGCCTGAGCTCAGTAGCTGGAGACCAGCCTAAGTAAGAGCAAGACCCTGTCTCTAAAAAATAGCCAGAAGTTGTAGTGAGCACTTGTAGTCCCAGCGGTATTACCAGGGAGGCTGAGGCAAGAGAATCACTTTGAGACCAAGCATTTGCAGTTGCTGTGAGCTATGACACCATATCACTGTGCCAAGGGCAACAAAATAAGATTCTGTCTCAAAAAAAAAAAATGAAAGAAATATATTATGTATTTTATGTATGCTAAGTGGGTTAGGTGGTTGGTTTGTGTCTATTCATCATGTAGGACATTTACTGACCAGAAAAACATCATTCCCCTTATGATGAATAATTATGATACCAATGTAAATCAAGGAAGAAATTATCTAAAATTGATGGATTCTGATCATCTTTTTATAACAATGTTAAGGGCATAATTCCTTTGACTTACACTAGATGGCATAAAGCAAGTTGTTAAAATCAAGATGAGGAGAATAATTATCAAAGACTGCCAAAGACCCTCTCTCCTATTTTTTTTTTTTTTTAATTGAGACAGAGTCTCACTTTGTTGCCTTGGGTAGAGTGCTGTGGCCTTGTAGCTCACAGCAATCTCAGACTCTTGGGCTCAAGCTATTCTCTTGCCTCAGCCTCCTAAGTAGCTGGGACTCCATGCGCCCACCACAATGCCAGGCTTTTTTTAGAGGAGGAGAATCTACCTTCTTCAGCCTCCCAGAGTGCTGGGATTATAGGCAAGAGCCACCGTGCCAGGCTATGACCCTCCCCCAACTTTTAGTAAATTAATTTTAAGCGTCCCTTGCAGAGTTACCCAACTCAACTGATCCCAGTTACCCATTCCCCAAAAATAATAATAGTACTCATGGGAAAATTCCCAAAAATAAATTGAAAAGCTGCATAAGGACATTCAAGAGGCAGACTGGGCACAGTGTTCACTCCTGTAATCCTAGCACTTTGGGAGGCCAAGGCAGGAGGATCGCTTGAGGCAAGGTGTTCAAGACCAGCCTGAGCAAGAGTGAGACCCTGTCACCATAAAAAATAGAAAAATTAGCCATGCATGGTAGTGCATGACTATAGTCCCAGCTACTTGGCAAGCTGAGGCAGGAGGATCTCTTGAGCCTAGGAGTTGGAGGTTGTAGTGAGCCAGTGAGCTATAATAATGCCACTGTACTCTAGCCTGGGCAACAATATGAGACCCTGTCTCAAAAAAAAGAAAAAAAGAAAGAAAAAAAACGGAAAGGTGCAGTGACTCATACCTGTAATCCTAGCTTGGGAGGCCAAGGCAGGTGGGATTGCCTTAACACACAGTTTGAGACCAGCCTCAGCCAGAGCAAGCCCTAGTCTCTAATAACAGCTAAGCATTGTGGCCGGCACCTATAGTCCCAGCTACTTGGGGGGCTGAGGCAAGAGAATCGCTTGAGCCCAAAGTTGGAGGTTGCTGTGAGCTATCATGCCATGGCTCTCTACCAAGTGCAACCAAATGAGATACTGTCTCAAAAAAAGCAAAACAAAACAAATACAGCCTTGTTTTGGTGTCTTGAAAGTAAAAATTTTGAAGCTTATATTAGTATTCTAGAATTTTATATGAAGTTCATTTTTTTCTCCTTTTAGAATTCTTGCCTATCTTAATGTTAAGCCAAATTCATAGTTTTTTTAATATTTGCTTTTTAGTTTTGTTTTCTTTTGGGGTAGTTGTGTTGTTTTGTTTTGTGAAAATCTTGGTATTACAGTTACTCTTCTCTGGAAACCATACTTTCTTTATTGCTTTGTTTTAGGAATGGTCAGAAAAGATGGATCAACTTGAAAAGGTTAGTTCATCTTTATTTGTGTCTCATTATTCATGTTAGTCTTATTTCTGGGGCTTAGAAAACATTTTATCCAGAAACCAATGTACTGATTGCTATACTGCCTCATGGAAGCAGTGTCTGTGATAGACACTGACTTTGAAAGCTCACATCTTCTCCTTGCTTATATGAGATGCTGAGTGTCTTTTGTCTGTCCCTCCTGGTACGCTCTCCACTTTCTCTTCCTTTTCTCTGTGTACCTGAAGCTTGATAGGAACTGTATCAGAAGGGCTTAACTGCCCTTTGGCTTCTGGTTGGGTTCAGCCAGTGGAGAACACTGAAAGAACCATGTGTGGAAGAAGAGTGTGGTGAGAATGTTTATTCCCCCCACTTTCTTCATATGGGGCCCTTTTGGTTAGTTGGATCCCATGGCCAAATGTCATAGCTTCATTGTCACCTTTGGTTTCCCCTCTTGACACGTTTCTTTCTCTCTCTTGGTTTCTTGTAACCTCTTCATCCTTTTGCTCCTTTATGCCCAGCTGGTATTAGCACATTATCTTTTGGGTTGTCTTACCCCTCTCACAGTGCTGATAAGCCCCTTTATTAAAATTCATCCTCAAAATATCTCATTTGAGTCTGCCATCTGGGGACTCTGGCTGGCACTAATGTTAGAAACACTTCATAATGAAGTCATGGAGAACGAGGACATTTCTCAAGGCTCAGCATGTAAGAGAGTCTTGGCTAGACACCAATGATGGGAATTGATTATTCTTGTGCCATAGCATAACACTGTGTAGGTGCCTTAAGTAGTGTATTCCTGGCTCCCACATGTGAAAAAAAGACAAAATTTCAAGCCTATAACTAGAAAAACATTTTACTCTTAAAATAATCAATAGTCAAGGCTATCAGCCCAAATAATAGGCTGTTAACCTAATGCATTCCTTTTTGTCAATGAGTACTAGTAGATAACTCTTTTTATTAAACAGATGACTTTTAATTCTGCTTCATTCTTTCCATAAAACACCCAGGCTAAATCAGCTATTTTCTTTGTGTTCTGTAGAAATCTCATTAAGAAGCTAACAGAATCTATTAACATTTTTATGTTATAAGAAAAGAATTATAGAAAAGTCAAGTCCCAAAGAAACTTGTGCTTGAAAAAAAAATCCCTAAACAAATTCTGTAAATGATGGAGGTATGAGTTAGGTTAAGGGTTCCTTGTCATGAAAGAAACTCTTAGCAATTATGGTCGGTTTAAATTCCCATTGAACTGTTTTTCTTTCTTTCTTTTTTTTTTTTTTTTTTGAGACAGAGCCTCAAGCTGGTCCCCCTGGGTAGAGTGCCATGGCTTCACTGCTCACAGCAATCTCCAACTCCTGGGCTCAAGCGAGTCTCCTGCCTCAGCCTCCCAAGTAGCTGGGACCACAGGCGCCCGCCACAACGCCCGGCTATTTTTTGGTTGCAGCCATTATTGTTGTTTGGCAGGCCCAGGCTGGGGATGCGAACCCGCCACCTTAGGTGTATGTGGCTGGCGCCTTAGCCACTTGAGCCACAGGCGCCGAGCCTGAACTGTTTTTCTATCTTTCAAAATTATGGGAAAGTATATCCATATACAACTGAACCAAATAAAAGCTACTTTGGTTGACTAGGATTTCCTCTTTGTTTCATTCTTTCAAAGAAGGAAGTTAGGGAAATTTTTTTTTTTTTTAGCTGGTGCCGGGTTTGAACCCACCACCTCCAGTATATGGAGCTGGCGCCCTACTCCTTGAGATAGGTGCCACCCAAGTTGGGGAAATATTTTTAGACCAAGAAAGAGTAATGTGACATCTCTATAGATCTTTGAAGCCACTTTGATTTGTTAGAGATTTTTTGTTTTTAAATTTTCAGTCCAGAATTAGAAGCTACAACAGTGGGATTAGTCCTTAAGAAATTCCACCTCTAGCCAGCATGGTGTCTACACCTGAAATCCCAGCACTCTGGGAAGCTGAGATGGGTGGATAGCCAGAGCTCATAGGTTTGAGACCAGCCTGAGCAAGAGCGAGACCCTGTCTCTAAAAATAGCCGGGTGTTGTGGTGGGCGTCTGTAGTCCCAGCTACTAGGGAGGCTGAGGCAGGAGACTCGCTTGAGCCCAGGAGTTGGAGATTGCTGTGAGCTGTTATGCCACGGCACTCTACCCAGGGCAACAGAATGAGACTGTCTTAAAAAAAAAAAAAAGTTTTAAATAATTATTGCTCTTATTCCTCTTATTCACAATTATTTGTAAGTAATGCTATATTGGTCATACTACTGTAATGATTCCAGTTATTAATGTATTATTGTCTCTTGGCAGAGGATTTCCGAAAGATTTTCTTTTATTAAGAATTTCTCTTTCATAATACAGATTTATAATGTTTTAGCAGCCAAAATTGATGTCATCTTCTTTCCCACAGGAGAAGAGATTTGTGACAGCTCAGTTACAGGAAATGAAGAACCAAAGTTTGAATCTTTTCCAAAGGAGAGATGAAATGGATGAATTAGAGGGGTTTCAGCAGCAGGAACTGAGTAAAGTAAAGCACATGGTATGTGTTTTGGCTTTAATAGCTAAATATTGAATAGATATTTATTTTGATTTTGATGGTCATCACTCTCTAATTGTTGTG